ATTACAGGCATGGGCCACCATGCCTGGTTTAACTTCCATATAATTTTGACTTTGATGGGAAGTAGTAATAGGGTAATGCTAGTATACACATCTCATTTGGGCTTGCTAGCAATAACATAAAGGAAGTTCTATTCTCATTTTATAGATAAGGCAACTGATGTACACTAGTTAGGTAACAGCTAGTATGAAGTAAAACTGGGAGTTACTTTCAGATCTGTGAGAATACAGAGTTTTTCTTTTTTAATTAAAAAGCTCTTGCTGGGCATGGTGGTGCACACCTATATTACCAGCTCTCGGGGACTGAGGCAGAAAGATAGCCGTGAGTTTGAGGCCAGCCTGAGCCACATAGCAAGTTCAAGACCATCCTGAACTGCATAGCAAGACCCTGTCTCAGAAAACCCCAGAAACCTAAATTAAAAAGGTACCGAATCAGGAGACCGAGGCAGGAGGATCATTGCAATTTTGAATCCAGGCCAGGCTACAAAGTGGGCCCAATGCCAGCCTGCACTGCGTAGCCAGATTTTGTCTCCAAAAAAAAAAAAAAAAAAGCTATTGAAATAAATATACATAGTGTGCATCTCAAAGTGTAGACTGTGGTAGCATTTTTCTAAGTTGTGTATACCTATGTTGTCTGCACTCTAAAATTACTGTCTGCCTTTCCACTCACCACTTGTAACCATTTTCTGATTTTTAACAGCATTGTTTTATCTGTGTATTTTATGTGACTATAATCACATACTGGGTGCTCTTTTGTGTATAGATTCTTTTGCACCACATTATGTTTGAGAGAATCATTCACTTTGTATGTAGTTTTAGATCTTTCATTCTTATTGCTGTATAGTTTTTCTTTGTTTGTTTTCTTTTTTTGGTTTTTTGATGCAGGATCTCGTTATGCAGTCCAGGGTGGCCTTGAACTCACTAAGTGGCCCATGCTGGCCTCGAACTTACAGTATCCTCCTGCCTCAGCCTCCCAAGTGCTGGGATTACAGACATACACTGTCTGTAAACTGACTGTCATCTAGTTTTTCACTGTGTGATTTTACGACAGTTTATATATCTGCCATTTAAAGGGATATGAACAGTTTCAGCATCTTGAATATTACAGTATTGATATGAACATTTACATTAGTGTATTTTTTATGAATATGCTTTTTGCTGTGTTGGGAATATATTTAGGATGAAATTGCTGGGTCATAGATGTAAATACATTCAGTGTTAGCAGATGCCATATGATTTTCCATAGAGGCGGTGCCAGTTTACAGTCCTCCCTGCAGTGTATCAGAGTGTAGTTTGCTCCCTGTCTTTACTAATCCTTGACATTTTCCTTCCTTTTTGTTTTACCCATTACAGTGGTTATGCAGTGAGGTTGCATTATTTGAATTTTCAAGTTCTGGATGACTAATGCAGTTGCGCACTTTGCAACGTTATCAGATATTTTGTGCTTAGGCGTTGTTTTTGAAGTATTTAGGGGGTTTGTTTTGCTATTTTTTTCTTAGTGATTTAACTACATTCTTTTGTTCTAGACTTGTTACGTGTATTGCAGATATATTCTTGTATTATTTTCTCTTTTCATTCCCTCAATGGTGGCTTTCAATGAACAAAAGGTTTAAATTGTACTATTAATTTCTTTATGGTGCATTTTGTATCTTTGCTATTGGTAAGTTATAAGAATGTTTGTGTTTTCTTCTAATTTTTTTTTATGCTTCACATTTAGATAGCCGATTTTAGGGCTAATTGTTTTAAATGTTAACACTTATAACAGTATTATTGGCTTTAAAAAAAGTATCTCAGTGCTTTTGGGGGGACTATTTTTCTGTACTCTAGAATGAAAAAACATTTCCATTGCTCACAGCTGGACTTAGAGTACAAGAAGTCTTTGATATGACCAATACAGTGCCTTTAATGCACATTTTGTTAGACAAATGCTAGTCTTTGTGCTTTGATACAGTACCAATTTGTAAAATTTTAGCGGTTAGAAAATATTCTAACAGAAGAGTTTATTACTCTAAAAGGTCTTGTGGATAAAGGAAACTTTCTCTTCTGTCATTGAAATTATATTAATAAGAAGCACTCAAATTCTCTTTTCATTTTTTTTCTTTTTATGTTGCTCGAGATTGAATTTAAGGCCTTGCCCATGCTAGTTAAATCGTATTTTTTGGGGTTTTTTTTGGTTTTTGAAACAGGATCTTGCTATGTAGTCCAGGCTGGCTTTAAATTCAATATGTATTCTAGGCTGGCCTTGAAACCATAATGATCCTCTCTCCTCAGGCTCTTGAGTGTTGGGATTACAGGAGTACACCATCATGCCTGACCAAATTGTATTTCTGAGATAAGGTCTTGCTAAATTGCCCAGGATTACCTTGAACTTTTTGATCTTTCTGTTTCAGACATCCTAGTAGCTAGAGGACAAGTCTGGGTAACCTTGCCTGCTGGTATCCAGATTTTTAAACCTTCTTGTGTGCCATAGGAAGGAGAGGATGCAGAGTGAGAGATTTGTCAGTATTTGATAGCTACTGTGCTGTTTACTTTGGAATATTCTGTGAATCCAGTATGTGTTGTCATTTCATGCAGTAGAGACTTCTTTCTTGGGAAGTATCTGTGTCTTTTTTTTCAAGGACTAAAAATCTAGAAATGACTCTTGCATATGTGGCAGTCCACTTGGGAGGAAAGGATCTAATATTTGTGGAGTATCTTGAGCTCCATACAAATGTGTTCTATATGCTTTACATATGTTAACTCACTCAGTCCCCTCAATAGGTTTGATAACATATCTCCACAATCAGATGAGGAAACACATTTGTAGAAGAAACTGAAAGGGTTGCTGGCCCAGGCCGGATACTGTAGCCGGTAAAGCCAAGGAACTCTATCTCCTCCCACCCTTAGAAATTACCTCTGGCGCCAAACTAAGACCAATGGGCTACCTGTGCATCCCTAATACCCCTTAGGTTCCACCCCAGGCTCAGACTACTTATATGCCTCACTCCACGTGTTCCACGGAGAGATCTCCGGCCCGGGGGTGGGGGTGGGGGGGGTGGTGGGTGGTGGAGATGCCGCGCCCCAGGGGGTCGGGGGCCAAAATAAAGGTTACTTATATTTTATACTTATCTTTTCAGCCGCCGCAGTAGGTCCTCCTCCTGTTTCTCCCCTCCACAGTTCTATCAGAAACTATTTTTAAATGTTTTTATATATGATACTTCTGACACCAAATATGTGTGTGGTTTCCCTCCACCACATTAGCCAGTTCTCTAGATTGCTGGGCATCAATTGGGTGTCTGCAATTTTATTCAGTTCTGACACTCATGACCCTAGAGTTTTATGCAGCTCCCACAGGTTAGGGGCTCAGTCCTAGAAAACTTCCCTCCACTTTATGTGCTAATCAGGAGACCCACGTTTCAACCCATTCTTCTGACCAACCAGCTGCATATAACCAGGGTTCTCACAGCTCCATCTTCAGGTTCAATAGTTTGCTAGAATGGCTCACAGAAATGCTTTACTATTATCCATTTAGTCTCTAGTACTGAGGAAAAAAGTTAAAGTGAAATCCCTTGCTTTCTTCCTGCCAAGTGTGAGCTCCACAGAATGATCAGAAAGGCAGTGTTACAGTTTTTATATAACACTTTGTCCATAAGACTCACTGTGTGGAAGGCATAGCTGCTAGTGGGCTTTTGGGAAGCAATTAGATTGAGAGAGGACCCTAACTTTATCCATGAATTAATCTATTGATAAGATCATAATTTGATGGTATTATAAGGGTGATGGAAACAGGAGGGGGTCTAATTGAAGGGGCTGGGTCATGGAGGCTTGACCGTAGGAATTATATCCCATCCCTACCCCCCTTTTTCTGTAGCATTCTGTGCTGCCATGAGATGAGCAGCTTTGTCTCACCAAACCTTTCTGCCATGACTTCTGTCTCATAACCCTGAAAGCTTTGGGGCCAGCTGCTCAAGGACTGACACCTCTGAAATCTTGACCTACAGTAAACTTTTTTTGTACCTGAAATTGAACTCATGACCTCGCTCTTGCCAGGCAGGTACTGTGCCTGCTGAGCTATATCCTTGGCCCCCTTTTCTCCTTTAAATAGTTTATGTTAGGTATTTTGTCATTGCAACAGAAAGCTGACTTAAACAGGCAACTGTGCTGTCAATGAGGTGGTGACTGAGCATATGCCGTGAATGTTCCCACATGCATTCATGTGTGCCCTCTGGGTACTCGAGATCCTGGATACTTGACAAAAAAGGACAGGGACACTCCAGATTGTGCACTGATGTCCGGCTCAAAGGAGCAATCTGGGCCAAAGGAGTAGGGAATGCCCTATGTGTATGTGTAGTTGTTCAGAAAACACGAGGATAAATTTATTCCTCAAATAAGCAATATACTTTTGTTACCTGTGTACCCGATTACACTTGCCAAAATCTGTCGGGGGGAATAAAAACTGATTGTCAAATAAAATTATAAAATTTCAAGGAAAAAAAAGACTGCGTATTGTATGAGAAGTTAGGAAAATAACTTCTTAGAGCCAACATGGCCCACTAAGAATATGTGAGGTCAGACTAACCAGATTTTCTTCATTTAGGTGAGCACTCTGGTAAAACTGGGTAATATTTTTAGCCTCCATTTTTGAATTGAGGTATACTTTAATGGGAATAATTAGGGTATACTTGGGATAAGATATTTGAGCTCTCAACAGGTAATGCAGAAGTAAAGGTATAGGAAGGAGATGCGGTAGTAACAACACTTCTTTTTTTTAAAAAAAAAAGCAGAAATTTAGGCTTAAGGAGGAGGTAAAGCACTGCTAGGGGCTAGGGGCGGGCCTTGGAGAGTCCGCCCAGCCTGGAACGCAAAGTCTCGCTCCCCCACTCCCCCCACCCCCAGCCCTCCGACCCCGCCTTCTGCCTGCCTCCTGCGCCTCCCGCCAAGAGAGCGCAGACACAGTGCATGGGGCGGAGGGGGGGACTTTGACCACTGCCCTGCGCAGGCGCAATGAGCGCGCTGGGCGGGCCCAGGGAGCGGGTTGTGGTTCCGGTTCCGGTCCCGGTGTCCACACACGTGAAGTGAAGGTCGGCGAGCTGTTTAGGTGTTCGCAGCTCGGCGCGGGTCTAGACAAGCGTGGTCGCTCTGGGATGGATTCCTCCTCTTCGTCTTCCGCGGTGGGACTGGGCGCAGTGGACCCTCAGCTGCAGCATTTCATCGAGGTGGAGACTCAGAAACAGCGCTTCCAGCAATTGGTGCACCAGATGACTGAACTTTGTTGGGAGAAGTGCATGGACAAGCCGGGGCCAAAGTTGGATAGTCGGGCCGAGGCCTGTTTTGTGAACTGTGTTGAGCGCTTCATCGATACAAGCCAATTCATCCTGAACCGACTGGAGCAGACCCAGAAGTCCAAGCCAGTCTTCTCAGAAAGCCTTTCTGACTGAGCTCAGCATCACCTCTCTGGAAAAGGAAGGTAGTTCAAGAGAAGAAGAGCTGTTGAGGGGACGAAGAAGTGGCCACGGGGAGACTGACTCCCACTTTTTGTCATTCTTAGGACATCTTGTGAGAATAAACAAAAACCAGATTTTTTGTGTGGGGTTTGAGGGTCATATGTGTATTCACTTTTTTTCCTTCGAATCTTGTGGAAAAACAATTGACAGATTGAGAAATTATAAATTGTATATTATTGTACGTGGCACTAAGCTTTTCTCGAGGCTCCCTTCCTGTAATTTTGATAGCAGCCCTTTGTTCTATAATTTTTCCCGTTCTATACTTTGATAGTGATACCACGTAGGTAAAATCTAATTGCGTAAATTCATTTCAGTTTTTTGGGAGAGATTTTGTGGCTGTCAGAAAGGACAGCAGCAAGAGAACAATGTGGCACTTAACTGAGCGTTTTGTGTCAGTGCTGAGAAAAAAATCTATGGCGTATTCATATAGTATATTTTAGTATTCCAGGCCATCTCCCTCCTCCACTCTGGTTCACTTAAATACTTAAAGTATAGTCTCAGGATAGCCTGGACAATCTGAAAATCAAGAGGCTTTTGTTATAAAGAACTAGCCAGTGAACTTAATTCTCATTACTACATGGCCACAGGAATAAGATAACTTACCCTGTTTGATTTATCAGAGTACCAAAATATTCAAAGGTGTGCCTAATGAAATTTGAAGATTTAGGCCAAAGTCTAAGCAATTTTAGGTAGAAGTGTGTTGGATGTTAATTGAAAGATTGGGTTGGCTTTTGATCACTGAAATAATTCAGTAAGATTTTTAAAAAGACAGTTTTTAGTTGGCTGCATGTTTGGTTTATGCAAAGTGTGGTTTAGTTGAGGGATTAGATGGACCTGTTCTAAGTAGTGTTAGACTACATGTAAGGTAGAATTTAGATCTATAAACAAGGGTTGTGAAGGAACTGAAAGTCACGCTGTGTGAACTGCATTCCGATGACCTGATTTGTTTTATTACCAGTAAATGATTTTGAAAATAGTTCCTACTGAAGAGTTCCCAAATAATTTAGGAATGAGGACATGGCACTACTGTTGGAATGCAATGGGTTTTGATAGAGTTTATTGGATAAATGTATATTACCTAATTAGGCAGAGAAGAATATCTCCCAAAAAAATGAAAAAGAATGCCCTATTTGGGGAAATGCAAAAAGGGAGAGAGAAGAAACTAGATGTTGACAGGTGCTTTATAGGCCGGTGGAGATACTGGAGCCAAAAAGAAAAAAGTGCCATATTCTTCTCAGTGCCAGGGTTCAAACTCAGGTGCCCTATAACAGCTACATCACCAGTCTTTAAAAAAAAAAAAAACACTTGACAAGTTGTCTTGATGGGATTTCAATTTGTAATCCTCTCAGCCACTTTGATTACTGGCAGTATAGGAGTATGCCATCAAGTCCAGCCATTTGTGTTAAACCAGGCCAGGACTCAAGCTTTCGCGTGTCTCTTTTTAAGAGTTCTTTCCTTCCCTTTTTTTTGTGTGTGTGTGTGTGTGATGGAATAGTGTTTGGAGACAGGGTCTCACCAGGTAATTTGGGCTGGCCTTGAATTTGCGGTGATCCTCTTGTCTCAGCTTCCTGAGTACTGGGATTACAGGGGTGGTGTACCATCACACCCAGCTCCTTCCCTTCTTTGAAATGTGTTCAGGTTTATGAAAGTGAAAAATAATCACAGGAAGCTGGGCGTGGGTACCGCATGCCTATAATCCTAGCACTTTTGGGAGACTGAGGCAGGAGGATCATTGAAAGTTTGAGAACAGCCGGGGCTACAAAGTGAACTCAAGGCCAGCCTGAATTGAATAATGAAACCCTGTCTAAAAAAAAAAAAAAAAAAAAAAAAAACCACAGGAATCACACAGAACTATCTTGTATTTCTTGTGTGGTTATGTACACATCCATGAGTGTAACTAGGGGTGGAACCTACAGCCTTGTACATACCAGGCAAGTGCTGTACCAGTAGGCTGCATTCCCAGCCCCTTTGTTATTACTATTATTTTTTTTTTTTTGAGACAAGATCTTGCTAAGTTCTGCATACTGACCTCATACATTCTTCCTACCTCAGTGTCTAGGATAGCAAACATGTGCCACCACATCTGGCTAGCTTTCTCCCCCTCTCTGTCTGTTTATCTCTTTCTCTCTCAGCTGTCCTGAGGATTAAACTCATACTGTCATGCATCTCCAGCCTTTTAAAATTTTGGGCTGACATGCATCTAAAATTTTTTATTTTGAAACAAGATTGTACTAAAAGTGCCTCAACTGAACTTGAGTTTGGCAGTCCTCCTGCCTCAGCCTCCCAGAGTGCTGGTATTATAGGTGTGAAGCACCACACTGGGCTTCGTCTGACTATCTTTTACATTCTTTCTTTTCCTTTGAGATGGGTCTTGCTATATAGTTTAGGCTGGCCTTGAATGCACCATGTAGCCCAGGTTGGCCTGGAACTCAAAGCAATCCTGTGTCAGCCCCCTGAATACGAGGATTACAGGCATATGTTACCATGCCCAGCTGTCTTTTATTTTCTTTTACCAGAAAATCTGTACCCTACAAGTAGTAACTTGAAGGGCATTAACGTTCTGTTATTAGTGCCAGATATTCTAATTACAGTCAGCTTTTTATTTTTTAGGTCATTCTACGGTCAGTTTTTTCTACTTTACCATACTATTTGCTTAAGAGCGGGTTCTTTGCCTGTTCTAAGGGTAGATGATCAGTTGCAGCTGTAATGATCCAGGAGTTAATAGCTGTGTCAAGTTAAGGATGTATTTATGTTTATCAGAACTGTAGAGTAAATGTGTGTGTAACTCATTCAGCTGTAGCTTATTGCTCCACTACAGGCAGCTCAATTTCAGCATGGGAAGGAAGCTCCTTAAGTTAAGCTGTAACCAGGGTTTGTATCCAGCCTGTAGGCTGTATATTCATGGCTAGCATTTGTTTGGATTGGTTGGTGTTCACTCTGAAGGAGTTGTTAAGTATTTTGAAAGTCATGTCTGGTTTTATTCATCTCTCTTTTCTAATCAGTGCTAGATTTGAAATTTCTCTTGTCTGTGCAGAAAAGTTGCCTTTCCCCCCCCTGTGTCATACTTCCAGCCAAAGGCAAAGAAATCTGAACTTTAAATTAATGTAGTAATTTAATTAATTAATTAATAATTCCAGCTATACTTCCAGCCAAAGGCAAAGAAATCTGAACTTTAAATTAATGTAATATTTTCACATACATTTCAGAATGACTTTTTCAAATATTAAAATACCACTGGAAGTGCTGCTTCTTTTATTGGCCTATAGTTGTGAGCAATTGGTGTTAGAATGTTCACTAAATTTCAGCTCACTCTAATTCAGGCTGACCTTGAACTCACTATGTAGCCCATTGTAGCCTTGAACTCAGCTGTTATCCTACTTCAGCCTCCTGAATGCTGGGATTACAGACATGCACCACCATGCCTGACTGTATAGACTTTAGCTCAGAAGTTGGATCATATTTAATAATTACTTTTAATTAGCTGGGCATGAAGGTCTCAGCATTTTGAGAAGCTGAGGCAGGAGGATCACAAGTCTGAATATGAGCAACTTAGAAATTTAGAAAAAACATGTCTCAAAAATAAAGGACTAGAGATGTAGCTCTGTGCAGAGGCCCTGGGTTTAATTCCCAGTACGACCTTTTCTTATGTTACAGCTTTAATGATTAGAATGTGTTCTGTTGTATTCTTGTGCCAAACTTTCCTCTTGTCATTAGACATTCTCTTAGCTTTTTTTTTTTTTTTTTTGCAGTTTTAAGCTCTTTTATGAGAAATTGCTTCTTCTAAATATTTGTTACTATTTCAGTCAGTGCCTTCCCCATCCCACCATGTCTTTTGGGTGGCATTTAATTGTGCCTAGCAGGTGAAAGGGTATGCTTATTTTTTTTCGGGTTTTAAAATATTGCAGATTGGTGAACTTCTTTCAAAGGGATCATTTTAGGGATTAGGACTAGTTCAGTGTTAAATCCCCTGAATTTTATGCTGAAATTTTAAGATATGTTAATAAAAAAATAAATTTTGTTCTGTTGAAATAACTTTTACTGGAAATAAGTAGAAGCAGTGAAATGGATTAAATATAAATCTTAAATGTAGCAAAGTCACAGTTTAGACTCATACTTAGCTCTATTAGAGAGCATACAGTACTAGATAGAACTACCATGTATTGGCAGTGATTAGGGAAAATATGTTAGAATGGTGGCATTTGAACAAGGCCTTCAGGGTTAGGAGTGTCTGGGAATAGGGAGATCATGAATAGGGAACTGTGGAGCATATTTTAGCAATTTTGAGGCAGCTTGTTTGGGTATAAGTGTGCTATTTATAGGAGATATCAATTGAAAGAGTTAATTATACCAAATAGACCAACAGGTAAAAATGAGAGTGGGGGAAGTCAGGTGTGGTGGTATACACCCATTGATGGATTCTGCCTGCCTGGGGCTCAGCTGTCTCTAACATGACATCCGCCCAATGTGACAATGGCCTCGAGAAGCAACTTACCTCTCCAAAAGTAACTTCTGTGTTCTCCTTTTAGTTCTAGAAATAAATCTACAGCTCCCTTTTCTCAAGTGTGCCTAGCCCTCTCCAATCCCAAGACTCCATAACCACTCAAGCACTCCAGCCCTAGCCAAACTCCATAAAGGCCATTTCCTAGCTCCCCCTTTTTGAGGGATCTTGTATTCTTCTGCAGCCCTTCTGTGCCCACAATAAAGGCTTTTATCTCCCCCAACCCTCACCCACCAATGGTGCCAAAAACCCTAACACCCGTAATCTCCATTCTGGAGTTTGAGGAGGAGGATCATAATTCTGAGGCCAACCTGGATAACTGAGTGAGGTCTTACCTTCCCTTCATTCCCACCCCAATAAAAAGGTCAACAGATGCAGCTCAGTGTAGAGTGCTTGCTTAGTATGTGTGAGGTTCAGTCCCCAGTACCACACCAGTGGTGGAGGCAATGTGTAGAGGTGTATACACTATTATAGAAGTGCCATACTGACCTTTTGAGGATGACTTCATTTTCCTTCCTTCCTAGCTTGCTTACTTACTTCCTCTTTTGCTTTTTGAGACAGGGTCTGGCTCTAATTCAGGCTGGTCTTAA